GTTGTCAGAGGTCCAGGCCAGATTCACAAGAAGACACAGAGCCGGGGATTTCATTGTAGAACTCAGATGAATTTCGGCTGAAAGAAGAAAAGATCAGAAAGATGTTGACTTGTGTTTTATTTCCTATGCCTAGGCATTCGATTGTGTGGATCATGAAAAACGATGCATGGCCTTGAGAAGATGGGAATTCTTGCCCCATTTAATGCGTTTCAGCCTTTTGTTAAGGATCAGCTAGCCCCAGGTGGATGGATTTCATTCTGTTCCCTTTGTTAACATGTCTGTACATTTTATTTTCACTCTTTTGGAAGTCTTTTAAAGAGTATAAATATTTTATGTTTAGTAAGTCTCGTTTATCTAGCTATTCTGATCTTTGTATATTTTTGACTATGTTTGGTATTCTACATATGCCTTATAATCGGGGCTCTAGTGTCTATTTGTTTCCTACCATTATCTTTATAGTTTCAGGTTTTAGAGTTAGCTCTTTGATCTACTTTGAGTTTGTTTGGTTATGGGGTGAGCTACGGGTTCTGTTTGTATTTTCTACGGAGAGACATCCAGTTTTACTGGAACCGTTTGTTAAACAGACTGCCTCTTGTTCATTTAATGGGCTTTGGCCCTTTGTAGAAAATCAACTGCACATATGTGGATGAACCTATGTCTGAACCTATGTCTGAATTCTCAATCCTATTCCATCGGTCAGTGTGTCTGTCTGTCACTGCACCAGCACAAGACTCTTTCGACTACAGTGGCTGCGTAGTAGGTTCTGAGATCAGTTAGAGGGAGGCCTCTTATTTTGTTCTCCCTCAGAAATGCTTTGCTTATCTGCCTTTTTCCTCTCCAAATAAAGCTGGTGATTAGTTTTTTCTGTCTCATTAAAGAATGCTGTTAAAATTGGAGCCCTGGTGGCATAGTGATAATGTATTTGGCTGAGATCCACAAAGTCGGTAGTTCAGAACCACCAGGCCCTCCTGGGAAAAGACAGTGCTTTCTACTCCCAGAAAGATAGTTATAGTTGGGGAAACTCACAGGTCGCTCTGCCCTGTCCTATAGGGTCGCTATGAGTTGGCATTGACTCAATGGCAGTGAATTTGGCTTTTTCGGTTTGGTTAAAATTTGGATCAGGATTGGATTATATTTATTAATCACTTGGGGTAGTGTTGGCATTTTCACAATGAGAAGTCTTCCTATTAATGAGCATGGTGTATTTTTCCAAATAGATCTTTTTGGCTTCTTGCAGTAGTGTGTTTTAGTTTTTTTATATGGGTATTTTATATCCCTAGTTAGAGTTATGTATAAGTATTTCATCTTTTGGGCAGGTTAAAGTAAATTATATTGATTTCTTGATTTCCTTTTCAAAATTCTCTTTGTTGGTGTAGGGCAATTCAAGTGATTTTTCTGTTTATCTGTTATCCTTTTATTTTACTGACTTCTTCTATTTGGAATCCTTGGAATTTTCTAAGTATATGATCATATCATCTGAGAATAAGGATAGTTTTGCTAGTGGCCAGTTTGAATATTCCATATTTTCTTTCCTTGCTGAAGGGAGAATAACTCACAGAAACCCCCACCTGCAGGAACATCCTGTTCAGCGTGACTTCTTGTGCGAACAGCACAGACACCCGCCTGAAGAAAGATCTTGTTCAGTTATTTCCCACTCACATGTAGGTGACCCTGCTTCCCAGAATCAGACAAACCACACAGTACCCCGTGTCTAGTCCTATAAAATCCTGCTGGTCTGTGCAAAGAGGGCTTTTTCACTCAGATCAGAGGCACTCTCAAGTTTCCTCCAATAAACGTGTCTCCGGCCATTGAGCGTCTGTCTTTGCGACTACATGTATTCCAACACGTGCGTCATTGCTCCACTAGGGCTTGCAGTACAATGTTGAATGAGAGTGGTGAGAAAGAGCATCTTTGATTCCTGTTTTCCGGGGGAATGCTTGGTCTCTCCACTGAAAACAACATCGGGCATTGATTCTGTGTGTAGGCCTTTTATTGTGCTGTGGAATTTTCCTTGTATTTTTTTTTTTAACGTTTTTCAAAAATTATTTTTGACTGATGCTGGGATTATAAAACTTTACAACCACTGTGGAAAGCAGCATGTTAGTTTCTTAAGCAGCTATGATATATGACCCAGTAATTGCTCTACTTAGTATTTATCCTAAAGGATAAGGAGCAAACCACGGGCAGATA